CAGTGCCGGTGGTGAACTGCAGGAAGAGGCGCTTCTGCTCCTCGCCAAATGAGTGCAATGTCTCCCAAAATTCCCTACGAGCAGTCAGAAAGTGTGCAGTGTTAACATTTCTAAACACAAAAGGACAAATAACTGTATCCTTAACTGTGGTCCAATCAACATTTCCACTGTCAGGTCAGTACGGTCCTATTTTAGCTGACGACTGTCATTAAAAAAATTGTGATTATCTTCCACTATTTTATTATAAGCCTAATACTGTAATTTCTCAAATAAAAGCCAGGTCTCAAATAATGGCCGGGGGAATAAAACGAGGGTGGATAATCTCCTGGTGCCTGTCATATAATGTGCAGGCCAAATAAGCAACAATTTCATTGATTTAATTTATTACAATCAACAACATATTTCTGGATTACTATTTTTAAGTGTAATTGCCTGATTTCAAGGGATCTATGTAAAGCAGAGGTCACTAATAGGCGGACCGCCGACCTACAGCCAATTTATAATTGAGAGGTACTACCTCGTGACGGAGCGTTTGTATTTTAACCCGCGCAGCTTTTCTATCGTTTACTGTACTGGTTTAGCGGCCCAGGAAACTCACGGACAAATTGCTCAGCCAATCAAATCTGTGCATTCCAAGTGAGTCCGCGAGATTCACCAGAGATGTTGTAGAAACACATGAATTGAGGAGAAGAAAGAGAAAATAGAATTAACATGGCTTTTAATCAAGAACGTACAGATTCGTACATGTACGTTCCTCCCACGGGCTGTTCAGAACCAGAATCTCTCATAGATCTCCAATGCTAGCTGGCAGGACAAACTAGAGCTCACGTTTCTCACTGAACAAGAGAAAGAAAGAAAGTGGTAGCTCTATAAGAGGGAATGAAAGAGAAGGAGGCATTACAGCTGTTCATTTGTTAAGATGTGTTGAGTGTTTATTATAAAATTGGTTGAGACTGCACTTCATGCTACACTTTTTATTTAATTTTCTTCTGAAATTAAGCCCTTTATTTTAGTTTACTTCAATTTAGAATTTATTATTAGAGTAGTTTATTATTTATTATCCCTCCAGTAGGATGTGAAAACCGACTTATTTGACTTATTTGGCGTCAGTTGTTGACTAAAACCACGCGTTGATACAACTATACGTTATGGCACTGAATGATAAGTTAGTCATTATGATGTTGCGGACCTTTGCTTCAGGATATTTTCTCTAGCTGGACCTCTTTGAATTCTAATTGAATACCCCTGATGTAAAGAATCGACCAAAAAACAACAGATGGAGAAAACTACTGGATTTGCAACCGTTTAAAACAAGTTGAGAAGAAAACATTAATCTATAAACCTATTAAAAACCAGCCAGCAGTGACAGCAGAGCAATGCAACTTACATTATGTAGAGTTCAGTCACTTGAATTAATGTTATCCAACCACAACCCACCTGTGCTACCATGTGATGCGAGTCCGGGTGCGTTCACAACACTGCCGCAACATAATGTTTAAAAAAAAATTCCAGGACAACACAACATTTTCCAGAATATTTTACATTTTCTCTAATTTTCCATATGTTGACAATTTTCCATGACTGGAAAATTGGTCAACTGTTTTCCAGGTTTTCCAGGACATGTGGGAACCCAGCTAGGGAATGTGGATAACTTTAGCTTTCTCAACTAAATTACTATTATAGAGCAACCCAATCTGTTAGCTGTAGGCTTACATGTAATCTAGATGTATGAACGGTACTAAAATATGTTACACGGTAATGGAAACTATTAAGACTACTGAGAAGTCAGTGGAGGCTACATACTTGGTGAAGCCAGCTTAAAAAATTTCATCAAGGCAAACAGGAGTAAAGACGTTCTTACTTCATACCACAATATGACCAAATGTACTTCTCAAACAGAGGGAATTAGAAATAAAGGCATGTCTCCTCTTGTCAAAGAAATTCCTGTCGTCGTTACACTTTACGTGATGAAATGTGTAGTAGTAACAAATATTACATGACAGATCAGCTGTTTAATCTTTAATTACTACTGAAATTAAGCAACTTTCCTCAGAGCTGTCAAACGCACTGCTGCACCCGTAGTGGAGACTCTGCTATAAATCAACGGACCCGTTATTGGCACCTCTCTGTCATCATCTTGCTGCGGAAAGCGAGACATATGGTCCCAAATAATTGCGATTAGGCGGTTATGTAATACTGTGACAGGCGCAGTAGGGTCTTGCCTTCACACCATAATCATAACTTGTGTGTACAAACTGTACCTAGACAACGAATACACAAACACACTTTCTTACTTGATGATTCGAGAATCTCTGTTATAGCCTCCATCATATTCTGTTGTTTCTTCAAGTGCTAGGAAGTCCAGGTTCTGCAGTTTGTGACAAAGACAAAATATAGATGGACATTAAGCTTTTAAGCCAATTTCAATGATTTACTAACACGCTGAAATGTCTGGTAACAAATCTCACCCTGCTTCCACAGATTAGGAGCTCGATTTCCTCTGGTCTGAACAGGTATTTGAGCGGTGACTCGTTGGTGACCATGTGGAAGCCTCTCCTGAACGCTTTGAACTGCTTCTCCACGCTTTTGTTCAGCATGTACTCAGCATACTGGGCCACAAACTCCTGCACAAACACACATCAACACCAAAATCCTGACGGGCACTTTTTAAAGGAACTTTTTCCCACTACTCAAAGTGACAGCAAGCCTTGAAGATAGCTTTGTTTGATTTTTTTAAGCCACTGAAACATTGGCTGCCACACCAATACAGTGCAGGGGAAACCAGAAAAAAATCTGCCTTTAACTAAGGCTGAACGATTAATCGTTTTCAAATCAAAAAGCTAATCGTGGAGACGGCGATTAAAATTATAGGACGCATCTGACCCGTTTTTTTTTACAGTCATGGAGTTACAAATTAATTCTGTTGTCATCCTTTTCTGACAGATCTGCTTGCCAATCACAAGCCATGCGCCTCTTCTTATGGTCCTACTCACCAATCAGAGCGGGCACATGGCGTGTACAATTTTCAACAACAAACGAAACTAGAGGAAACGTGTCCGACGTCAACTCACACGTTTCAGCAGCGGAGCGTTTAACCTACACGTTGTCATTTTGTGTGCTTCAACTACAGATAACGGCTCTCTGGGAACCCGCTCCGCTCTCTGCAGGCTAACGTTACATATCCACATGGAGCATTTCAGAATAAGAGCGTTTTGCCCGTCTGATTTTGTTCAGATTTTGCTTATTTGTACTTGATTTTTTTACTTACTTCTACTATGGTTAAGTAGGCTACGTAGTTAAATTGTTTCTTTTTTTGTCTAACTGTGTTTATTGTTGATGTACGATCGAGAGTCTGCAAAGGGTGTTTTATTTTGACTTCCTGCCTGGTTCATCTGCTCTGTGCTGCATGACGCAACTTCCGGCAAGAATAGACTGGCAGTGAATATTGAACTTTAGCAAAACTTCAATAAAGAAAAAAAATTTGCAAATTGAACCGTAAATCGCATTTACATTTTTTCCACCAAATCGTTCAGCCCTACCTGTAACTAAGGATAATATACAGATCTCACAGCAATCTTCAGATATATACATAAATGCTGAATCAAAACAGCAAACTGGTAGATCATCTGTATTTTTGTTTTCTATTAAAAGCTGGGATTTTCACACTCGCACAGTTCTGATAGATGTGGACCAAGATCCTACTTTTCAAGAGGTCCAAAGGAACCAAATGGACAAATAGACCAAGTTCACATGTGAAACTGTGACGGCCATATTCATTTTTCAGATGGCTTTTTTTTTTACCAAAAAATAATATAAAATATTTTTATAAAGTAAGTAAGTACGGCTTTTTTCCTTCCTTTAAAAATAAAATACTCAAACCGACTAATCAATTACCAAAATAGTTAGCGATTCATTTAATAGTTGGCCACAAATTGATTAATCATTGCAGCTCTACTATGAACCCTAGATTTAGGGCAAGACCGCCTTTTAATACAGTTTGAAAATGCTTCATGTTTGCCGTTTGGCTCACCTTTCTGTTTTCATTTGTGACTGGAATCTTGTCCCCATTTTCCCTTAAATCGTACATGAGTGGGTTCCCAAACAGATCTGTCTGGGAAATCTGGAAAGTGATCATCATGTCCTCTTCGACACTGCCCTCGTACTCCAACAGCTCCTTCAGACTCTGGAACAGAACCTGTCCCACACAGCCACATGACATATTTAGCATGGCTCATCAACTGACACACCTGGCTGTTCAAAAAAGTTGCTGCGGTGTTGAAATTTACAGTTACGTGAGCTATCCAGCTAAAGAGCATTCAGAAGCTTTGTTAGAGGTAATTCTTACCGGGTTGGCATCAGCCAAGTCTCTGAAAGTTCCTTTCTTGCCCATCAACTTCCTGTAGACCACCATAGGAAAGTGGACATCCAGGATACAGTTGTTATAGATGGCCAGACCAAGAACGATTCCTATCAGAGTGTACTGGCCCTCGTTTTCAAACGATGACGCGTTGAACCAAAACAGCTTGGTGCGCTCGTCGTATGTGAACATCCCTGCAGGAGGACAAGAGGACGCGATGTGTGTGTATATTATACACGCACATGCCGTCATTTACAACACGTCATTTAATATTGGGGACTTTTTCGTTATCCCAATCGAGGGTCTAAGGATATGGCGTGTCGGATGCTGTACAGACTGTAAGATTTGTTTGTGATTGGGCTACATAAACTGACCTGACCTGTCTTTGAATTAAGACAAAGTATTGCGTACCTGCGGGTGACCTTTGTTGCACATCACCCCTCTCTCTCCCTCCCCACATTTGCTTTCTTTATTGGGAACTACTGAATAAAAAGGCAAAAATGCCAAATAATTATATATAAATAATAAAGAATAAATTCAAATCAATTTCAAATAAGGAAGAAATGTTGTCCTGAAAGCACTCATTTGTTGTTATGCTTTTGCATTGCTCCACTGGCAATCATCAGCCCATGTACTACTCAAATTGAAAATGAAAGTACACGCTCTGCCCACTGTGAATTTCCATTACAATTTTAAAAAGAGTTACTTCCCGTTCATCATTAATATTATAATATTTACTCTAGTTGTGTACACACGCAGTTTTACAGTGGAAATTTCAGGTGTAATCAGCTTTGTGCTCACCTCTCAATAAGGAGCTTAGATTGTTTGATTAAACTAGCCTTGCAATACAAAAATGATCAGTGAAAGAGCAGTGTCCTTGCTGCCCAATATTTCAATTAAGGTGGTTAGTAAAACATTTTCATACCTGTTAGGAATGAAAACTATGAAAATAAATTAAAAATTGCAAAAATGCAACATACACATCAATGCAGCAGTAATAATAATCAGAAATACATCATATAAATAATAGTAAAACTCTGACAGGGACCATTTTACTGCATAATGACTACTTTAAGTACTTTTTCCTCAGTAAGGGTTTAGAATGCACAAGTTTTACCTGCAGTGGAGTGTATTAGTATTTTTCTAACTAATGGACCTAAGTACTTCTACCTCTGCCTCTTGTTGTGGTGTGTGTAACCTATGTGTGTGAGGTAGTATAGCAGGTTTTGTTGTGAAATAGTCTTTCCTGGTGTGTGAGGGCTAGTTACGTTACTTCAGTCAACCATAAAGTGTGTAGATAAGCTCGGGTTACAGTAGAATACTTCCTCAAAGGCTGTGCGTTGTGTTTGCTGCCACAGAAATGAAAAACAAAGTGCCCGTATTCAACTTTGATAGACATCCCCCAACTCTAATATCAAAATATATTTGAGATATCGGCCAGCACTAGCCTGCAGTATCACTAGCTCACATGCTATGTGGGTGCTGCACCTGCGTTATGTAGAGATGCTGCAACAGGCTGCTTAAAAATCAGACCTATTGCGTCAAAAAAAAAAAATACAGTCTCGGCTACTGAAGCTTAGCTTACAAAACATAAATGCTACTTGTTTTGTATTTTCTTACCAATATCTGGGTTGAAGATCTCCTCCACCACCAGCTGAAAGAACTCTTTGGAAACACCTCCTTCATCAACACCTTGCTCTCCTTCAAACTCGACGTACAGCTGCTTCTTCAAGTCTGCAGGATTCTCCATTGCTATCATTTCCAGCTACAGAGATGTAAAGTAAACAGCTCAGTGCAATGCGTAAAAAAAAGCTAAACAAAACGTATTTAAAAGAGGCAGAGAATTTACTGAACTGGCACAAACATACCCTGACCAGTGCGTCGTCAATGATGTGGTCTCGGCGTACTTTGAGCCTCAGGTAGGGGTTGAGCTGCTGCCCCTGCACCAAGCTGTAGAGCACCGTAATGCGGCGCTCGCTGTACATGCGGATGCGGTTGTCATAGTACAGACCCAGGTTCTTGGTGACGGCGTTCAGGATGAAAGGGCAGGTCATAAAGGAGAACTTGTTCTCAGTTTCAACCTTAAAGAAAGTGTAGTCCTTGTCCATCTCCAGCACCTCGTTCAGAGGCTCATTGACAAACTCCTCAAAGAGAATGAGCGGCCGGCGGCAATCATTGGTGCGGATCCCCAACTCTGTCTCCAGCGGGTCCACCCGAGGGCCCTTCTTGTTCCGCCGTTCCTCGCCCAGAAGCTCCTGCAGGGTGAGTTCGCTGGACTCCGGGATTGGCTCTTCGTCCTCTTCCTCGTTGTGCCCCATGTCGAGGTCGCCGCCCAGCACGTTTGCATAGTAGACGATCTTCAAGCACTTGGTGGCCGCCACCACTGCGTCGTCATCGTTGACCAGATTGCGGCTGTTGAACTCATTACTGATCACCTTGTACGTAATGAGCTGCTGGAAGGTCTCCACCATGCGCCGGATCTGCTCCGCACTGTAGTGCGACCACAAGCGCGCCAGCTTAGCCTGAGCTGCCAGCGGGAGTTTGCTCATGGCCTTGCAGAACTGTGGGAGGGCGATCTCCAGGTACTCTGGGCTGTGGAGGTTGCTGTTTTCCATCACTATAACAAACAGGTTCAGGTAATTGGGGTCTCGTGAATATACGTTGTGGTACGTCAGGTCGCACTCTACGTTGGGTGAGAGGTAGACCAGGGCATTCAGGAAGGCAGCTTCTATCTTCTCATTGGACAGAAGGCGCTCGTACACCCGCCGCACGGCATCGATGTCCACGGACACCTCATCGGGGGCCAGCTTCTGGACATCATTTTCCCCCGAGGAGCCCTCTCCGAGCCTTGATGATGAAGACGAGGCGGGGGAATCCTCCTCCATAGCTGTAGCAGAGCAGGCGGCTGCCTCCTTCTCGTCCTCATCCTTGTCCTCATCCTTACCTTGAAGGGACTTGAGCTCCTCCTTGGTGTGAGATTTGGATCTTCGGAAGCTCTGCACCAGGCCCTCTGCGCTGGAGAACACCCGACCTATTACCCTGATCAGAGGCGAGTAGTCTTCCTTCTCCCCACAGATGTCCAAGATCTCATACACTTTCTCCTCCGTCAGGTAAGTCACATCTACATATAGAACATTAGAAGGACAACAAAACAGATCAAACTCTCCACAATCATTAACTCTGACTGTAACAGGATCGTCTGTAGTCTGGCATCAACTCACCTTTAAAATTGTCCCGTACAGAGTGGACATCTTTATGGTTCATCTTCCTGTTACTGCAGGCGGAGTTGCCGTGAGCGCTGCTCTCCAGGTAGGCCGAGGCAGTGCCTTTCTTCGACGGGTGGGGGTCACATAGCTTCGAGTTGACTTTGTAGAGCTCCAGAGCTTTGACCGCCGCCGCGTTGTTATCCATGCGGTTGAAGCCGACTGACGAGGCACACCATGAGTTAGAGCACGACTCATTCCCACAGCCCTCTGTTAACTGGTGGTAGTAGCGCTCTATTAGATGTTTGGCAGCTGCTCGCTTCCTGAGTTCAGAGGTAAGGCACAACAGGTTATAGGTTCTGCAGAGTCCAATTTATTCATCATTAACAGCAGTTTGTGTAACATGGGATGAACGGTAGAGATGAGAATGATTCAGATTCAATCAACGACCATTAAGTGTCCGTTTCATCTGTGGGTTAAAAATACAGGGCTCAAGACTAATGGTGTCCTGGGGTCGATAGAAAACGTGTTTGTGATGAACACAAATGTTCTCCGGGACCCTTTGGGACGAAAGGGATTTTTGCATGTGTGTTTATCTCTTACACACCGGAGACCGCCCCTCTTGCGCTGTGAGTTGCAGCCGGTGTTCTGACGGTTTATGCTTCCTTGTCGAATACTGCTACCGTAATGCAAACCCTACCTACCCCCAACCAACGCGCATGCAAAGAACTGCAAAGAAGTAGCACATCTCGATGGGTAGCATAAATCGCCAGAACACCGGCAGTCTCACAGCTGTGTGACAGAGTGGTGGAGTTTTGCGATAGAAACATCTGAAAACTGAAGCGCAAACTTGCTCTGTTTGGGACCGTGAGCTGCACTTCATCGGAGCTGCTGATGTTAACGTGTGTTTGGAACAGTTCTGTCTGTCAGATGGTCTGATGGGGGTCCTACAACACCAGCAGAGCAATAACGTAATGCACATCAGAGTATAGGGCAGGAAGATTAATGAAAATTTCTATGAACGTTTTTCTGGACGGTTCTGGGACGGGGGTGAAACAAAGTTAGTCTGGAGCCCTGGCATTGACAATAAATTGCCTAATTCATTAAATTAGGGTTTAATAGTTTTCAAAGACAGACTTTGGCTGACATGAAGCATCTATACGTTGCCTTCTAAGGTATTTAATCAAGCGCCAACTCAGATATACTTCAGAAAAATCTGAAATGTATTACAAAAAATCCACACAAAGAGCATAAAAACATTGATATGGCGCTCTTAGAGCATTTAACCATATCTGTTCCAGTCTCATCATACGTCAGAGGTCGCACACCTCTGAAGCAACTAGGGGTTACGTGTTTTGCTCAGGGACACATTTGGGATGAACACAGTGGGAATCAAACTTGGGTCTCCCACTCCAGGGCACGTGTCTTGTCCCCCTGTATCCATCACCACCCAGTGTTCAATGCTGATAATGACCTTTTGTTTTTAAAGTAACTGAAGTGCGCGCCTTGAATAATTCAAATCTGCAAACTCTGTAAAATAAACAATAGCTGCCTACTTGGTGCTCAGCATTGCTAGAGGAAAATATTAGCATTGCTAGTGTCACTTTCTTTTGTGTTATGATAACAACAACCACAATGAACAGGGCTTTAACGGGTTGGAAAAGAAAACAAGAAGTGAGAAGAGACAAAAACAGGAGCAGTCTGTGCTGCAAGTGTAAACTGTTACAGCTGAAACACGCTCACAGGCACAAATGCGCAGTAAAGTATAAAATGAGTTTGACTTACATTCGGCTTGCTTCTGGGTTTTCTATTTCAGGCTCCTCGTGTTTTCTAATTGAACAACAAACAATATCGATAAGTATACCTGCAGCAGAGGTCACGACGTGCTTGCACTGACATTATAACCACAATAAATAGTGTTGGCGCCCTGCTGGTTGCATTCGAGCAATATTAAAACATATTTTCTGTGTGTCGAAACTCAGTGATGATGAATGACATGCTCGCTAATAAGCAACATCAGAGTCAGTGCCTTGCAGCTAGAAGAAGCAACCAAGTTAGCCTTGCATTGATTAAGTTACACTCACTGTGTTCTGTTAAATGTGCAGCCATAGTAAATATAAGTACTACTAAAATAAAATACTACATTTAAGGGAGGGGGGGGCAATAGGTTTGGTAAAGGAGGAGAAACGTCAGGGACCTGGATTTAGCAAGCTAGTGCACCTAGCTAGCACGCTGGCCTTTTTTTCAACTATTATTTATGCAGAATTGATGTTTCCAAAGTGCTAATAATTTTGACTGATCAGCCAACTATTGAAATACCCTTCGCCTGCATATGTTGGTATAAACAACAGAGCTGTAGCTTTAACACAACTAGCAGCAGCAGCAGCTAGCTGGCCATTACTTCCAGCGTTTCTCCCCGCATCCCCGACTCTCTCCTCTCGGCCTCCCCACCTATAAGGTCCTCCTGCGGGGCTGGTCTCGGCCTGTGGTGGCGTACACTCACAGTCCTCCTTCTCGTCGGGATTCATACGAGACTTTATCCTCCAGTTGTTTGTGTAATTCTGTTGCTGTTTGGTGAACGGATCGAGTCCTCCACGGGTTGATTACAGCTTCAACAGCACGGCAGGTTGAGGCTAAACGCGCGGCGACGACGGATTTTCAGTTCAAAACTTCATTCACGGCCTTCCTACTGCAGGCTCTTTCCTCTGCCTGAGATCCGCCGCCATCTTGACTTCACCATTAGCCCGCGTCCCACAATGCACTGCGTTCTGGCTACAAGACATGCTGGAATGGATCAAAACGCTGCGCGGAACGGACTCCTTGTATTTATCATGAGATTATGGATGGACCATCCACAGCGTTGGAGTTTAACTACTTAGATGTAATTTAGATACGTGAATTAATTAGAAAATAAATGCAATTGTAATCGGCAGCAGTTACTGGGAAAAATGTGTCATTATATTACAGTTACTTACCAAATCCACCAACCTCAAGTACACAATGCCTGCACATAATACCTATTGATTCAGCATCCTTTGCACTACGCTCCATCTCACTGTGTACACGTGTACATGTATGCATTTATGTGTACCTGTGTATTGCACCCCCCCCCCCGACATGTACATAATAATAATAAAAATACTGGTAATAAAAATTCACTCCTGCATCCTTTGCACTCTCCTCACTTTGCACTATTGTCTTAATCTGTCTATATTGTTTTTGTTTACAGTGTATATATATGTGTTCTCTATACTGTAGCCTGTGTCTGATTATATTATTGTATTATTGTATAAGTAAGCACATTGTGAGCAATGTACAGAGTCAAATTCTTTCATTTCTTTCAGTCAAAGAAAGCTGATTCTGATTCTGAATACTTGTGAAAATGTTCACTATTACATTGGGGGTTGCATCTTCAACTGGGTCTGTCAGCAGATCCAGCAGGGGACCCAAACCTCCCTTTCCCGAGCCACATTAACCAGCTCTGACAGATTATAGTAATTCAACACATTGTAAGTATCCCTTGTTACCCACATTTCAAGTATATTCTTGTTTTTTTTGCCTCTGCCCTTCTGACCCTCACATTGGCTTAAACCACATTTCACATTAAGACATAAAACACATCTGGGCTGTTCTGCAATCATTATCATGATTATTGTTTATTATTTATTGATTGAAGTGACCATCTGTTGTGGGCCTGTAAGGATAAAATAAAAAGCATATTGGCCAAAACCTGATTCCTCACTCACATTAATGGTGAGGTTCACACACACAGTACGCTGACATGCTAGGATTCTCTCATAGAGCCCAGCCAATAGTTTAATATCACTGGCAATATTGTCTTATCACAGATGTATCCGTATAAGCATCTATGTCTCCAGATATTAAAATATTAAATTTCACCAAGTATATTTGAGGTAATTTTGAAAGGGAATTTATATTTTTTTCCAGCGAAGAGCAATTTATTGTTCAACGTGCACTACATTTGACACAACTGTTAAACAGCCACATTTGAGGGATCCTTGACATACAGTTCTATGAAATGTGTTTATGCATAGGTGTCATTTACACTGGGGACACTGGGGGACACTAGGGGCACTGGAGACATGTCCCCAACACTTTCTGAAATGGCTGATTTTGTCCCCATCACTTTTTGAAAGCATTTGTTAAAAATGTTCTGAAAAATAGCTTGCAACAAGAATTGTTAATTACAAAATGAGTTTTATTTGCACAATAAGAAATATGCATGTAATTTTGTGTTTCCCTTTGTAAATATAAAGACATTTCCACCCTAAATTCATGCAGAAAGTTTCTCCAGAATGCAGGAATTAAAGTGTTTAATACTCAAAGACCCCCCAGACTCTGCATTAGTGTGTCTGTTATATCCAGTCTGAAGTTATAGCCAGTGGTATAGACTATGATGACGTTTGTGGAGTGTTTTGCATTACTCATTGAAATACAACTACCTTGCCTGTGAGTTTGTCGTGGGTATGAACAGGTTACGCTACGAACACACAGCCCTTCTTGGGATCAGTAAAGTTGTTGTTGTGAATCTGAAGCACACATGCACATCCACAGGAGCCCTCAGGAGGTAAGTGCTCTGCTCAAAGACACTTCAGTGAGGGGCAATGTTTTGGCAACTGCTGCACCTCTTGCACAGCTTTAAGGTATTTATAAAGCTTGTAAGTTTGGAGTTAATCCATGTAAGGCTTATAAATAAAAATATGTATCCAGTAATATGTGAGCTTGTGTATGCCTGTTTCTGTGAATGTACATTGTGAGCAACCCAGATTTGTATATACCAACAAAACTGATTCTGAACAGCAAGAGAAATAGTCTAATAATTAAACTGAATATGGAAATTAGAATGGTATGGTGAAGATATTTATTTATTTATTTATTTTGCATAAAGAATAAAGTTGAAGTACATTTCAACTTTAATCTCTACGTCATTCCCGAAAAGGTACTTCAACTTTATTCTGGTCATTTTGATTTTATTCTCATCATGTAGACTTAATTCTCGAAATATAAAATAATCACAAATTTTCACCTCGTTTATTTTTTTTACCTAGACTGCGACTCTAATGGGCCTAAATGACTCTATCATAGGAACAGCCCCTCTCCCCTTCGCAAAATTTCAGATCAACACCACTTTTACCAAATAAACTGATAGAAACAGTCATTTTTTGTGAGCGCGATTTGCAGAAAAATACAGCTAAACCTCTGACCACAGTTTATTATTATTTTAGATAAATTCAGCGTTTGTTGTTGTTGTAAAACTGTCGAGTTGGGCGGGAAAGCAGCGGAACTGGCAACCCCAGCATGTTTGCGTGCTGTGTGCAAAGTGCGCCCGACTCTTGACAGTGACCTGAAGGAGCGCGGCTGCACGACGACGGAGGGAATCACCGAGCTGTATTTAACAAAAGTAACATTATGTTTACGCAAGTTATGTAGTTAGTTTTTATTACAACCGTCAGAGAACAGATATTTTATTAATTCATATTGTTCATTACCGTGCTTTGCTATTAATGCTGAGTAAGCTAACGGGAAGTGTAGCTAACGTTAGCTTCACAGTCCGCGTCTTAAGCGAGCAGGTGTCGATTTTTGTTGATTAAATCTAGTATATATTATGTTAACAGCCACTATTCTTTATAAAAATTTTGCTTTAATGTGAGTGTTTTGTTATAAAGTGCGGGTAAATCGACTCATCGGTGAGCCCTCCCGCTCTTCAGACCTGTCGGGATTAACGTTAGTTAGCCGAAAGCGGCACCGCAAGCTAACTTTACACACTTGGCTAGCAAAGAAATTCGCACAAGGCTACCGGCTAAAAGTAGCTTATATTAATAAAGGTTAAACGGTTTATGTGCAAATTAAGTACTAAAAATCATCCTTTGGTTTATAGTACGGATTTTCTATTTGTCCTAGTTGCTTTGCCCACAATTTAAATTAAGCTTTTTAGCGAGTGCTAGCTTGAGCTGCATAAAACACGAGGTCGGCGGCTGACGTTTCGCGGTGTCACTCTGACAAGGTTAAACTTCACAGTTAAGAAAAGGATGTTGCTTTAACACAGACACACTCAGAAGTGTACAAATTATTCATGAGTTTATGTGTCCGAAGCTTCTAAATCTTTGTCTTTCATTTTTAAGGTGAACAAAAATGGACGATTGGGACGAAGAGGTAAGCCAGTTTATTCAATGTTTAATCATTTGCTAATTATGTCCAGCTGTGTTGTTCCTGCTGTGTAGCCAGACAGTCACTAGCTGATTTAAATTTTTCTCCCCAGGGATCAACTAATAATGTCAGTGCTGTTACACTGACAAGCTACACCTGGAGTGAAGGTATGTTCACTGTTGTGTACATTATGAAATTGTGATGTGAATAAGTGATTGACTCACAGGCAGTGAGAGTGATTCGATAACTAATTGGGTAAAGTGATGCATGTTTTGTAAATGAACGCCTTTAGGCTCACAAGGAGACTCCTGGAACAGTGGTGGCGGTGGCGACTATGGAAGAGGTAAGTGTGGAAGGATAAGCAATGACTGAATATAGGTGCGCTTGATTAAATGCAGCTCTGACTTAATGTGACGCATGCTGGATTTAACATAAGGCAAGATACGTTCTTCTAAAACCACCCAAACGCACACTGAACCGCCCAAAATATGTTATCAGTATTTATTTCAGTATTTTAACTGTCACAATTACTTACTGGTTTATACTTGAAGGAAAAGCTCACTGGCAGACAAAGCATTCATTAACATTTTTTAGGTGCATTACTGCCACTGGAGTGTTTCCCTTCTTTTAAATAAATCGCGGTGAAATGAGAATATATTCTTCACACACAGTTTACTGTTTCTGGCGACCGCAGTTGCTTTTCTCCGGCTGCACAAAGGTGGACATCCCCTCTTGGGTTACGATACCTTACACCAACCTGTTTAATATGAACTGACGATTGTGAATTATAATGTCGCCCTTGATTGTCTGTCTCATTCCTTATGCCAATATTTAATTAAATGATTTTGCTTCTCCTCTACCATCAGCTACTTTTAATACCTTGCTGTCTTCCACTTCTTCGAGACCTTTCTTTGCAAATGTATCTGCTTGTTCATTTCCTTTTACACCCACATGAGCAGGGACCTTAATGAATATTTTTCTGTCTCCAGGTCGTGGTGGAAGAGGCCGAGGCAGACTAGGAGGATTTAAAAGCTCATTCTCAGGTACTCATACATCTCAAATTATAAATCAAGTAGTAAAGTGATCGTTGAGCGACTGAACAATGTCACTGAACAAAATCAAATGCAAGTGACATCTAATGCTTAGATGGGAATTTTAGAGGGAATCTAATTTGTTTTCTGTTTTGTAGGTGGTGATGAGAATGGGAATGGTGAGTACTGGCAGTATTAAATTAACTAGTGTCAGAAGTTTCTTTGGTGTCTGGAGCTTCTGATCCTTAAATGTATTCTTTGCAGATGGGGACAACTGGAACAGTTCAGGAGGAGAACGAGGTGGGAGGGGAGGCAGAGGAGGCCGAGGTAAGACAAAGAAAATGTAATGTTCCAGTTCCACAGATTGGACTGACGTATGAGTTGTGATAAGCAAAATGTTACATACAGTGAAATAAACTATGTAGTAAATGTTCAAACAGTTAAAAGGATGCAATGTGTGTGTGTGTGTGGTAATGTTTTAATTCTGCGTTGACTATAGAATTAGGGATGCCCAATATATTGGCTGAGTAATAAAATAATTATTGTTTCAATATAGGGACACAACAGAGTGAAACATTTATTTTACTCAAACAAGGACAATGCTCGTCATATTTAATCGCAACACAATCCTCCAATAAGGGATGAGCAACTTACCAAACACCAGCTGAACATTAGCTTGACGCTCGCCCACAGTGAACTTGCTGTACCCTCCCCAAACAGAATTTAGTGAACAATGAACAGTGAACAAGCTAAAAACAAACTTCTTCTGTGGTAACAGTTGAGCCTACATAGAATTTTATTTTGTTTGCGCCAATTTATAACAGTTTATGGACGTTATCTCAATGCACATCTCATATAAATGTTCCGTACTTGTATAGCGCCTTTCTAGTCTTTTCAACCACTCAAAGCGCTTTTACACTACATCTGCATTCACCAGTCATACACAGTCATACACAACAACAGCGGCCAACCCGTTCGACCTCCTGAGCCACTGCCTTTTTAGCATTATTGCTAGCTAACCAAATTCTACCTGCCTTGGCCCTTTATAAATGACTCTGACAATTGTCAATAGCCAGAACGGCCTCTTTTCTATTTACATGTACAGTGCGAGTCCTCAGGTTGACGATCACACCGTACAGTGTGAACACAAATTGTGAGCTTTTACGCCACAATTAACTCGCACAATAGGACTTGGAGTTGAATTTGTTTTTAAATTGTACAGAGCCAGTTTTAGAAATCCGCCCATTTAACCTTTTGAACAGTCGGAAGAGCAAATGCTGAGTTAGAAGATTATGTTGGTGTCAGCTGATAGATTTCTAATAAAATGTAATGTTTTGAACCGCTGTTAGGAAATCGTGTGTCCTGACTGCATGTTTATTCTGTCAGGGCGCGGCAGAGGATTTGGCAGAACGGATCGAAGCGAATTCAACGGTAATGTTATGTGTTTGGTTTAGCTGGAAGCAGGTCTAATCTGAGTACAACTGACCTAAAGACATTTCTGTTGACTTAAGAATTACCCTGATTTTACAGGAGACGACGATGGAGTGTGTGAAAATGGTAGGTTTTTTTCTTTCACTGTACAAAAACAGGTTGCTTAATTTTGGGCTGATTGAAGTAGTGTTTTTTCACAAAGCAAAATTTTTATTTATTTTGTTTAAATCTAATCTAAGTCTGTTAATCTTATTTCAATACTATCTAAACAGGGTTTAAAAGAGGAAGAGGCGGCAGAGGGGGTTTCAGACAAGGTATTTGATTCTGTATATAGTGAAACACGTTGTTGTTTTCTAAAATAATTATATCGCTATTGAAGTAATCTTAATTTGAAATGTGAAGAGCAGATAATTAATGGTTGGTCTGTTGAAGGTGGTGATGAAGGTGGCAGAGGAGGCTTTGGAGGAGGTAAATCATTTAGCCTTTTGAAAGAGTCATTCTTAAGGTTTTGTAAATGCGGTTGTATTGTGGAGCGTATCTTCTGTCATTGCAGGCTACCGTGGAAAAGATGAGGAGGTCTTTACTCAACGTAATAAACTTTTTGATAATTAACTGAATGATTTTAGCCAGTCAGTTTGGATTTTAATCATTTAACTGATACAGTTTATCTATCTGATACAGGGGAAGATAAAGAAAATAAAGATGCAAGCGAGGGTGAAAGTAAGTTAATAAACTGTGTACAATGTTAATAAAGTCAGCATTCCCACAGTATGATCAAGCTTGTTCCAGACCTGCACCACAAAACTTACTGTTCTGACCCGCAGGACCAAAGGTCACGTATGTTCCTCCGGCCTTGGCCGAGGATGAGGATTCAGTTTTTTCCCACTATGAGACCGGCATTAATTTCAACAAGTATGATGACATCTTGGTGGATGTGAGTGGAACCAACCCACCGCAGGCTATCCTGGTAAGAAGTTAAATCATAAATAACTTGATTAAATAGTTGCTGGTTTTATTCAGTCTCTTTATATATGAAGATTTGCTGCTTTTCTATTACTAGTATCTAGATTGTAAGACAAAATAAGCGTATTTACAGATGCTGTGGTAAGAGGTGATTGATGGGCTACTTCTATACTGGCACACCTGAAAGTCCATTAACAATAGGTGAACTTGAGTGTAACTCAAACCACTTTTTGGCAACAAATGTGAACTTTCCATTGAAAGTGTTATGTTTCATCTGCTTTATAATTATAATGAATGATGTATTTCAACCTTTTGTGCTTTAGAGTTTTGAAGAAGCAGCATTGTGCGAGTCCTTGAGAAGAAACGTCAGCAAGTCTGGTTACGTGAAGCCGACCCCTGTGCAGAAGCACGGCATCCCAATCATCTCTGCTGGCAGAGATCTCATGGCCTGTGCTCAGACCGGATCTGGTAAAACGGTGAGATGAGAGCTGAATAAATCACTGACCTAGTTGCTTGTGGACAGAGTTGAAATGCGTCTTCCCTCCTCCAGGCGGCTTTCCTGCTCCCTATTCTCCAGCAGTTGATGGCAGACGGTGTGGCAGCCAGTCGCTTCAGTGAGCTGCAGGAGCCTGAAGCCATCATCGTGGCCCCAACCAGGGAGCTCATCAACCAGATTTACCTGGAGGCCAGAAAGTTTGCCTTTGGGTATGTTTAGAATGTCGCTTTGACAACGTCAATAAACCCCCAATTGCTCAGCAAGATTTTAAATACAGCCCACAAATGACAGAGTTTTGTTTCCTGACTTGTAGGACATGTGTGCGTCCAGTTGTGGTTTATGGCGGAGTCAGCACTGGACACCAAATGCGAGAGATCTCAAAGGGGTGCAATGTGGTGTGTGGAACGCCAGGGAGGCTGCTGGATATGATTGGAAGAGGAAAGGTGGACTTTTTCAGACTGCTCACTTGATGGATACACCAAAGATATACGGTCTTTAGTTGAAGGTGTACACATGTAACTAAAAGCTGTATGTTCCAGATTGGGTTGAGTAAGCTGCGGTACTTTGTGCTGGATGAGGCTGATCGGATGTTGGATATGGGTTTTGAGCCTGATATGCGTCGTTTGGTAGGCTCCCCTGATATGCCATCCAAAGAGAACCGTCAGACCCTGATGTTTAGTGCCACTTATCCGGAGGATATCCAGAGGTCAGCTCCTTCATAACCGCAGCTTTTACGTTGATGTGGACAAACTGTACTTGAAGTGAGCTTGGCATGTGTGAATATGGAATCATGTTTTTACAGGATGGCGGCAGACTTCCTCAAGCCCGACTATTTGTTCTTGGCTGTGGGAGTGGTGGGTGGAGCCTGCAGTGATGTGGAGCAGACATTTGTCCAAGTCACAAAGTTTTCCAAGAGGGAGAAGCTCCTTGACCTCCTCAAGACAACTGGTAAAGTTTATTTACAGCTATTACCTCTATTCAGTCTATTGGTTTCTGATGTTTGTAAAAACCTTTAAATAAAAGCAAGGAAAAGAATTTCAGTATCTGTCAGAATAATACAAATCCTAACAGCAGGGCGATATGGCTAAAAATCACGATAAACATTTAATACTAGGGCTGAACAATTTTGGGAAAAAATCTAATTGCGATTCTTCTGTTTAATTCAAATAGGGCAGTTGGTCATAGGGCGATTGGTGGGCGTAATCGAATATGTCGACGACAAACCATTTAAATTTTTAAATAAAGTAGCCTAATGTCGTTATTATCACCACATCAGTTTTAAGAGATTTGCGACTATTGTCATTATTCTAATGTGCTTCATCAGGATGATTGAATAAAATATAGATTTATTGATTAGACATGGGTTTGATATTTATTTTGGATAAATTGGTATGTTAATCGAGTAATAGGCAACTTTTCCTTTAGAATAAACAAAAATAATCTTTAGATTAATCGACTTGAAAAATAATCGACATGTACAGCCCTAAATTCACAACTGACAAGCAATAAATCAGTGTGTAGTATGACCAACACAATTTTAGATATTAGATAGATTAAACATACGCTGTTCTTTCTTGTAGGCCAGGCCTGTGTTACGATGAAATTAGGTGTTGCACGAATTATTGAGCATTGGTGGACAAGAAGTATCAAACTAAAATAATTTCAAAGAAAGGCGTCAGCCTAGTCGAGAAGAAACACAAAGTTCACCACAGTGTGTTATACAGAAAGTGAATCAAATCTCGTCTCATTGTGGGTCAATACAAAAGTTGGCAAACGAATATGTGACGCCTGTAATAGACCGGGGCTGACTGGTGGCTGTGTGTGTGATGCGAACGCTAACCGTACTACACGCGTCTTTCTGTTGTGCATTTCCTCTGTTCGTCTAAGCGGCGGATGGCCTGATGATTTCACCCGCCCCCGCCAACAACTTATGATGATTTTATTCTCTGTTTGACACTAAAGTTTGTGCAGTGTCAGGTTCTGTCAAGCCTGAGGCCATTGTACAACAAGTTATGGCGCAGCGTAGCGTGCCAAGTTGATGCTCCCTCTGCAGACTGCTTTACTCTTTTGATGACTGGTCCTGACTGCAGGAACGGAGCGCACCATGGTGTTTGTGGAGACCAAGAGGCAAGCTGATTTTATTGCCACTTACTTGTGCCAGGAGAAGGTTCCGACTACCAGCATCCACGGGTAAGAGACGTGTCCAGGACTCTGTGTACGCTTTGTTTTAGTGCAGATAGTAATGCGTTGTTGCCTGGCAGGGACCGTGAGCAGCGGGAGCGAGAGCAGGCGCTGATGGACTTCCGCTCTGGCAAATGTCCGGTCCTGGTGGCGACCTCTGTAGCTGCCCGCGGTTTGGATATTCCAGATGTACAGCATGTGGTGAACTTTGACCTCCCTAACAACATTGACGAATATGTCCACCGTATTGGGAGAACTGGCCGCTGTGGCAACACTGGGAGAGCGGTGTCTTTCTATGACCCGGAGGCTGACGGCCAGTTGGCTCGGTCCTTAGTCACAGTCCTGTCCAAGGTAAAAGAGCACCAACTTTATATGAACCTTTTTAATCCAGATTTACAAAAGGTCTCTCCACATCCTGCCACATGTACATTTTTTTTGCAATACTGCTCATGTGCAGCAAATCCTCTCCCATAACACAAAAAAATCCATTCATGCATGAACCATGAACATATAACCCTGATTATTAAGAACAATTCACCAAATAACAGTATGTGCAAAGTGCAGGCGTATCACTAGGAAGGATTTTTGATAACAGTCTGTGTGTGCCTTCATTGTTTCCACATGGTGACTGTGATTGACAGGCCCAGCAGGAAGTGCCTTCATGGTTAGAGGAGTCTGCGTTCAGCGGCCCCAGTCCCACTGGCTTCAACCCCCCCAGGAAGAACTTCGCCTCCACAGACTCGAGGAAGGTAACTGGATTGACGTTCAAGCTTAATAGTTGCTTGAGTTCTTTCTTCCTCTGCAGTCTTTCAGTGTAGCTGCCTGTCCTCACCGTGCTGTCCCTCACTGTGTCCTCAGGGAGGATCTTTCCAGGACAGCAGCGCGAGCCAGCCGGCTGCTCAGACTGCAGCTGACGACGAAGAATGGGAATAGAGGGGACGTGGGAGCAGCACACATTACACAGCATTGACCTGAGTTGTTTTTCTTTTCAGATGTTCAGCATGTTGTAGTTTTATTACTGTTTTTGTTTGAAGGAAAAAAAAAAAAATAGTCTCAATCAAGACTAATTTGTTTTGTGTGATGTGACCACTTTATTGGTGTGCAGTGACTGCCATAGTGTGGAAAGTTTGTTTTATTTTATTTTTTATCACTACTTGCATTTAAGATGCTAAAACAATGTGTCTGACCATAATTCTTATGGTGAGTGTCATGTAACATAAGTGTTGTATTCCAGCTATAATTTGTTTCCTACAAGGATAAAGATCATAAATAAATATTTGTTCAAAGCAAAGCCTAAGTTTATTGGCAGGTGCAATATTAACGTGATGCAGTCCAATACTCTGTTAATAGATTTCCTAAAACATTTAATCATTAGAAGTCCTTGTATGTAGACGGTTGCGGGTATTGATCGTTACATTATTAGTCCATCACTGAGACATGCACAAGTAATGATGCAGTTGAAAATGCTCTGAGGGGACTGATTAGCTAAGAAAAATGACACCAGTCACTGTATAGCATTCCCACTCAAAAAAATGGTGAACAAGGATCAGCTACAATAAATTGCTGTTCCTACCACTGTGGTTATTGCTCTCAGCATTGATCTCCAGGCTGAAGACTTACCTGGAGATGAATTTCGACAGACCTGCAAAGGTTTAAACAGGGACTACTCAACTATCAATTAAAGAAAAGTTTTAAGAGCAATCAACATGTCAAAACGTGGACTGTAACTGGCACAAAGTCATTGCAAAAAATATGGATTTTTGTTAAGAAACGTGGAATAACATTTGTACAAGAGTCTTGGGTTGATGACATGCAGTAGAAATATGGAGAACATGGTTGACGGGAAGAAAGTGATTAATTTGTAATATGGTATTATCACTGAGTTTGCTGTCCATGTAGGGCGACCTAGATTAATTAGAAAAGTTATTTATTTGCAGTACAAGCCATACTTTTAAATTACTGGTGCAATAACTGTGGGACAAATCACTTCGTAATAGAAAGTTTTAAAATGTGAGAAGTTTGAAACAGACATCTCCTGGTTTGCTTGTGATGAAGTATCTTAAAGGTATGGTCCAAACTTTTTTCCTTGTCGACGACACCCTGCAAGGACAAAGATGGTTCAGTGTGAGCCTTATAAATAAGAAACCTTTGTGAATGGCGTCCATTATAATAACTGGGATGTTGTAGAAAGACAAGAATTCAAGAAGTGTTTTATTGTTTGTAACCAATTCTGGGAAAAAAACAAATTTGTTTATAAATATTATGTCACAGTTCATCCGGATGAAATATGTCAGCATGAAAATAAAGACCCCAAGCTAACAGCATTTGTTTGTGGAAATTAGCTAAATTAAGAAGTTATTTTTCAATATGTTAGTTGACACAAGGGTTAAAAAGTGGTGGGGACATGAGGGCTCAGATTAGCTGTGTGACGCATCAATTTGGTCACGAGAACAATACGAGAAGATATTTTAACACTATTGTGAAGAAATATTCAATCCTGAAATATATGAGTGGGGCTCTGGGCGTCCTCCCCCTGTTCATTTTTATTTCCTGCATTCTGGAGACATTTTCTACACCAATGCATGGTGGGAATTTTTATTTATAGGGAAACACAAACTTCAGCTGCCAGGTGACATTAAAAAATATAATGCATGCAGTAATCAGTATTTTTATTTTATTTTATTTAAGCTTAAATTGCTTTCATGGACTGCATTGCACGTTTTCTCATTGTGCAAATAAAGTTTTCTCAAAGCATTTTAATTTGTCTCACCTAATTTAGAAAACGTGTAATATGGAGTTAAGTTCCAAATTTATTCTGGATTGCAGAGATGCAGCTGATCTTAAAGGTTTAAAAAAGTTTTTCTATGTTACAAGTAGTTTCCCCGTCATCTCCATAACAACCATTTCATTAGTAACGTTGGACCAATGAAACTGAACCGGAGTTTCAACTATTTGTAATACTCGTATCATAACTTCTGGATTCATCCGTTATCTAAACAGATCTGTTTTATGCGATTTAGCATGCCACACAGTCCTGTTTAACTCTCTGTATCAGGTGTATCAATGCACTCTCAGTGAGAGGAAAACGTCCTGCTCCTGCAGCCACGCCCTCTGTGGGCGGGGCTCTTGAGTGTGCCATTTCGATTGGTCGGCGACATGTTTCCCGTTTGAAACTTGTGGCTTCAAACCGGAACCTGTGGAAACTAAACAAAGCCGTGCATGGAGAAAACACTTCGAACCTAACAGCTTCATAAGTCCTGAAAGTCTGCACCCTGGCCAGCACTGCCTGAGGCTGCCGTGAACCATGAAAGGAACCGCTAAAAGCAAAGTAATACCGACTGAAATCAAATGTAATACATGACCGAGACAACCAGCTAGCTGTTTGAAGTGTTATTTAATTAGTTGGCACTGTGCTGTGTGCGTGGATGCACGTTGTTTAATTTAGATAAGTCTCACTTTGAAGCTGAGTGATTTGTTGTAGATATAGTTGATATTTGTAAATTTAAAGCAAGAAGGAAACCTATAGTACACAGTAAATAGCAGTGTTGTAGTTTGTGCTTCAGCTAAATATGAACGTTAACAATGCAAAATGCACATTTCATTGTTTTGAGTAAGTTAGTCTTAGACTAGGAATAATTGCGTGTCTGTAACTGAACTCTCAGCTGGAAGTTTATCTGACAGACTTGCATTTCAGATTCAACATGTTTGACCCAATTGCAGTGTATAAACATAAAATATGTCCATTGAGCAGTTTTGGAGAAATGACATGTCAATACCAGCAGTATTCTATGCACAACTCATTTATTAATAAGTTCTTGCTGACATTTGGGGACGTGAGAGCTTCATCATCAGCTGTTCCAGGCAGTGTATTCATGCCGCAGCTCCAGTGGCTCTTTGTGCCTCAGTATTGGCAGGCACCTCACACACGTGGATGTGGACAGTCTTACAAAGACGATTTAAGTCGCTTCAGTATGACAGCCGTGTGTAGGAAATAGGCTTGTGACTGTGGTGTGTTGGTTGTGATTGACAGGTGGTGACATCCGGGAGGCTGACAGGAGGAGTCAAAGTGCAGCCGGCCAGGAGACGGTGAGCAGCCTGAAATTAATTCACCTTCTAAAAAGTGACTGTATACACTATCAGTCAAAAGTTTGTCCTTGTTTTGTTCTTTAAAATGACATCAAATTGATCAGAAATACCGTGAAGACATCGTTAATGTTTTATATGACGGTTTTTGCTGCAAACTGCTGATTTGTAACGGAATATCTACAAAGGTTCATTATCCGCAACCATCAGCCCAGTGTTCCTATGGCATGTTGTGTTTGCTATGTCAAGCTAATCATTTACCTAGTTGAGTATCTGAAGCATCAGAAATTGTGGGCTCCTTTTAAAGGCTCAAAATAGCCAGAAACACATTACTTTCTTTGGAAATATTCCATTACAAATCACCCATTTGCAGCAACAATATTCAAATTACCAATGTCTTCACTCTATTTCTGATTAATTTGATGTTAATGGACAGAAAATGTAAATGAGTGTCTGTTTTAACTGGTATTGTATGTATATACACTATATGTTGCACCGTCCTGACTCTTATGCTGTGCTGTCCTCCTCTTACTAGTGCTGTTAGAGTGACTCCAAATCCAGGACCGGCTGCTTGCCCTGAGCCAGCCTACTCTCTGTACTCCACAGACTCTGAAGACCAGGTAATGAAGTGAGCTAATTTACAATCGCTGCAAAAGACACGAGAGGACATGTTGAGCATGATAGTGATGTGTATGACTAAGCAGCAGTACACAGTACAGGAGAAAGCAACGTGTGAATCAAAGCGGCATTCAGCGGAGTGATATTGATCATGTAGAACAGGAATCATTGATTTCTAAACAGAAAGAAAACAAAGATTCTATAATCTGTATGATGGAGAGTTCAGCCCCAATGTAACAGCTTCCCATGACCATTTCACAGAGCTTGCACACTTCCATGATATCATTCGCTCATTATCCAAAACGAGCAGAGCCTTGAAAATCTTATCCAAGGAAGGTTAAAATCAAGGGGAGCTGGACTTGGTTGAAGATACTTGAAGATGTTTCGCCTCTCATCCACTTAATTTCTGTGGGGTCGTCAAGGTGATGAATACCGCTTGGTTGGAACTGGTTCGAAAGAGGCCATTTACAGCAGCATAGAGACCATCTCTGAACAGAGTATCCTCCACTTACAATGCTGTTCTTTCATCTCTGCCCAAGAGAGTGAGAAAACTTCTTCTGTTATTATTATTATTTTTTAACACACGCTTACTGTTTTATTTATTTATTTAACTTTAATATATTATTTTCATATTCTAAGAAACTAACACGCCCACGCTTATTGTTTTACGTATTTACTTTTAAAATATTTATTTTTACGGAATTTTTAATTTTTATATATATTTTTTTATTATTTAACACACACAAACACAACTTTTGCTGTTTTATTTCCTTATCTAATGAAATGTATGAAATTAATTGTCCGTACGTACTTTAAATATAGCTTTGGCAATATTATTGCTATACATTCATGCCAATAAAGCTAATTTGAATTTGAGAAAACACTCAAATTTGGCCTCACGTGACTCCACCGACCATAAAGCCTGTGGTTACAGTCGGGAGCACTAACGAACCGAGCAGTGTCCAACAGCTTGATAACGACCCCACAGAGGTTTAATAGCTGGACTCCTTGCCAGTCTGACCCCCCGGATGAGAGGCAAGTCCAGTTGCCTTTGATTTTAACCTTCCTTGGATAACTCTGTGTTAACGCTCACAGCTGTGTTCTGTCTTCTCAGGTCACCTATCTCCATAAGGGTCTGGACCGGTGTGCTGCCTTGCTTGGTGGCATCCTTCAGGCAGAGAAGGCAGGTCTGATGAAATTACAATGTAACATTGCATTGAATAGTGCAGCTAATAGTTTGTTACAAGTAATGCTGAAACAATCACTTGATTAGTTGAGAGATATGCAATCAACAGCACTTTTAATAAACCTTTAATCAAGCAAAAACACAAACTGTCCTCTGCCTCCAGCTTCTCCACTCGCTAGTTTTCTGTTTTATCTGATTTCTGTATCATTTATATCTTTAAGTTGTTGGTTGGACAAACACATTTAATACTTAACTGATTAATTAAAATCCTATTCTATCATAATGACATATGTCTCTGTGTGTGTCTGTAAGCCTTGCCAAACCTTCCCACAGCAGTGAAGGGTGGAGCTGCCAAATCAAAACCATCCACCTCGCTGGGGAAGAAGACCACCAAGAAGCTACCT